CCCACAGACGTAACGACCCGTTGTTCGACAAATGTGATGGAAAAGCAGTACACTTGGCCTTAAGAATTACTTTCGCTTCTACGCTTCGGATCCAAGGCTGAACTCGCGCTGGAGAATTTTTTTCCCAACCGATAACGGTCTATAGACGCGTTCCAACGTTTCGGGGATCCTTCGATCTTTCAAACAAACGTATCTTCGCTCATTCAGTTAAATAGAATTTGGGAGAACATTTTATCCTGTCGAAAGAAGAGAAGCTTCGATGGATCACGCTGTTTTTTTTTTTCATTGTAGCACTCGGATGTATTTCGAATTTTTTCGACAACATTTGGCTAATTCTAATCCACCGACGTTTAGTCAAAAAAAAATAAATAACTTCCATAATTTATAAAACTTCCGTTTGGTTTGGCGTCCCTGGACGATCGTTTAGATTTGTTGAAAGATTAATTAAATGATATTAAGATAGACGCTATTGCATCGATAATCGTTCGTTTTAATCTACTTAGAACTCGATATATCCGACGCCCACGCATTCATCGCGTTTTACTATTCGAGTGCTGTCGATAAATTATAACTTTTTTTTATTCTTCCCCGACGTCGATTCCGCTGATACATTCGCAGCATCTTTTCGTTCAATTAGTGCATCGACGTTGATTATTTTCGTTTCCCGACTTCTTCCCTTTCACGTTTTCTGCGGCATTTATAATCCGCAATACCAATCGAACCTCCTCCATAATTTCCACAAAACTCGACGCGAGTCGTTATAAACAAAGTGCACGCACCCGCGACAACAATGTCTGTCGATAAAATTAATTAAAATTTCGTTCCTCGGTTGTTTTCCTCGCGTAATCGTTCAAGATACTTCCGTGTAACTTTATACTAAAACTTAATATTCTTAATGAAGGTGCTGGCGCGCAAAGCAAATTGTTTGTGTTAACAATACTTGCGCGAGCAACATCAATCGAACGCCCAACAACCGACTCCACGTTTTTCTTTTAATTGAATATAATTCGACATAAATAAAAAATAAGTTGTAATACAGATCGAGGAAAGTTAGAAAATAACATTATATAACATATTGCCAATTGCTTGCAACACGAAAGATACGATCTAATAATAAATTGCAAAAACATGTGTAACAATGTTCGAAATAAATTTGTTAACGGACAATCATTTTTTCTTTTTTTTCTTTTTACGAATATCAGCGCGTTTTGAAATTTCAAACGAAACAGACGTATTGATTTTTCGTGCAATAATTTTCATACGCGTATAAAAATATGACCCACTGCATGTTTGATGGACTGGTCGAAACGTACAGCCGAGTTGGAAAGATCCTCCGCGCGATTTCGGTTTCGATACGGAAGCGTAGAAGCGAAAGTATCTCTTCCTACGGCCAAGTGTTCTACTTTTCGGTAAGATTTGTCAAACAACAGGTTGACGCGTCCGTGAAAAGAATAACCGTGCGACGAGACTACGTAAAGATGGGCAAAATTCGAACAGACGATCGGATATTTAAATCTCGAACGAAGATATTTTATTTAGGACGTTCGAAAGGTGATTTAAACGCGCAACGGATTGAGATTTGTAACAGAATAGCGGATATAAAAATTAGAGGGGGTAAACAACACTTGTGATAGTATTTACAGTTCTCGAGGATATATTCGAAAAAAAATGGAGCACTTTATGGGACAGTATAGCAGCATTTTTCATCGCGATAAAGCTGTAACACACTCGGAACGCGTACAGAAGGAGTGGTTTTATGAAAGAAATATTAAAGTTTTTATCTGTTGCTCGTTTCTTCGGATTTAAATATCATCGACAATTTATGGAGATCGTTTTCAAGACAAATTTACGACGCTGGGTGGCAATATGAAAATCACTCTGCCTCCATCAATATTGCAAAGGTAGCTTCGATGAATAACCTGGAATGGATATTTACATTCTTCGCGCGATTATTTTCCCCGGTCAAATTGCTACACGGAAGATTCAAATTAGAAGTGTATCGGCTATAACTTTTCTTTTTACTGGCTACCTGTTAAACACGGTACTTTGAGATGTTTAAAACTATCTTCCATAGAGATAGAATCAACATTAAGGCGCAATCTATCTGCGGAAAACTTGTTGCAATAAAGGATAAGGTGGCGCACAGTAAGATAAAGTAGTTGAGCTTGAAACTAAGCTTGTGGAAACCACTCACAATAACAGCAATTTTTCAATTGAGGTAAGAGACGTTCCTAAGGTAGTAAATGAAAAGAGAGCTGGCTTATGGTTTTTCATCTCGACGAAGGTGATCGAACCGATCCGTCAAATTGCAAGTATATTTAGTAATAGGCATTCTTCCATGCAAATATTTAAAAACAAACCGATCTGAGCACACTCTGTAATTTCATTTCGTGTTTATCGTTTGATAATGACAACGCAGATGCTGATATCAGAACGAAGTATGCGTAAGGCCTGTTCAGGATTTCCCAAATTTATTTTGTATCTGCTTTAATAATAAAAACAAAGAACAGATTGCAACCATCTCGTTATCACGATACTCAAACAAATTAACACCAGAAATCTTAATTATGGATATGTGTGTCAGTGTTATGAGACCAAATCTTGGCGTATTAAAACTATTTGCATTGGGTTGTGTCCGTGTACCTTTTGCTTGAGCTGTTTTTTACGATTTACAATTAACAGGGAAATCTCTTAATTTTATTACGTTAAGGAATTCTAAATTACTGTCATGCATCTATTAATCGAGAATCTAGCCTGATTTGTGACGGATCAAAAGCTTATCATTTATTTGTCATTCGAAATTTTTAACTAGATAAGAAATAAAATACAGATGCTTCTTTATCGGAATTATTTTTAACGCACGAATCGACGGCTAATAAATTTTTCAATAGACGAGGGACCCAATAAAATCTAATAAATATTCCAAATAAAATTGCGAAATTCATGGAGCAAAAGATAGATTTCACTCGGTTGTTTTAATATTTAATAATTCATGGACGGAAAGGTGAATCGAAGAGATTATTTTTCTCGCATCCTGTCGTTCAGGGTTATTCTTTTATAGCTTCTAGCAATAGTAATCGCTTAATTAGGACTATATTCGTTATTTTTGTAAATTACCTAACATGATCACGGAATAGTAATAGACTCGATCTTTCCTTCTGGGATCGATAATTAACGGACCTTACGTTCCCTCTTACGAAGCATCCTTAATAATCTGTTTTCTAATTTACTAAGTATTGCATTCTATAATTCGAAAAGCTAAGATCAGGTATAATTTACAGTTGTTATTGACCATATACTATGCAAAGATCGTAAGTTGTCGACGAAAGAAATAAGCTGCACCGTGTCTCCCAATCACACGGATTGCCATGATCGGCTAAGTCGATCACATCCACAAACATATCGTACAACGAAGAATCCAAGAGCGGGGATTTTCAGGAATTAGGCGAGGTGATTAGCCTATCCCATTGCCCCCGTGACGAAAAGTTTCGCGAGTAGTCGGCAACTTACGATCCCTGCACGATACCAAAACCCAGACCTGGTTTTATGCCACTGTACACCAAAGGAGGCTAGAGAAACGTTAAAGGCGGGGATAGGGGAGTGGAACAACGAAGGGGGATGCCACTCTTTCCCCTCCGTCGTTCGACTAATCATCTTTCGAGGTTCGTGCAGTACATAAATTGATTCCTCTCGTCGGCGAAACTATTAAAGCTCGTCCATCGAAAACATAATGCCTCGCGAGACGTTTAATGCCTTGCTCTCGTATTCGGTAACTCAATCTTCGCGTTGATGTAGCATTCGTCGTGATAGATCACGCTGAACCACGTGATTATGAGCGTCAGATAAGCAACGCGATTTGTAAACACATTTCATTCACGATAGATTTACGCGCCGAGTGCGTTTGGTTTCCAAACGTTGCTTATTAACCCGTTACGGGATTGAATCGTTGCGAAATATGGAGTAATAGATTGGATTATTAGCGGGAGACCTGAAAAGGTCGTGCTACGGAAACTGTGTAACTTCTATCAGTAATGTTCACGAATTTTTACAACGAGAAATAGTCAAAATTAGTAGCAATACGCCTTGTACGTATTCCAGCCGTTCTGTTTGTCTGAGTGAACAAAATGTAAAAGATTCTTGATTACAGAACAAAATTGATAATTAAAAAAATAGTTTTTAACTGTTTGCAGGCTAAAAAAATAGTAGAAAGAATAATGATTTTGGCTTCGTTCGAGAATCTTGAGATATCATGGAAGCCAATTCGGGAAAGATAGTTTTTAGAGAAACGCATCTAAACAGAAGGATTACACCGAGCAATACGTACACCTTCGTTAATTTTAGGAGTTCGATGATGTATATGCCTTTACACACATATTTCTAAGACTATATCCTTTAAGAGACTGCAAAAAGATCGAATTTTTTGGCGGTTTACAGTAGAAGACCTCCTCAAGGGTTAAGTAGGAGGAAAGACATATAATCTAGAAGTTTTATACAGACAAGAGCTAACCTCTGTTGTTTAAAAATTAGATGTCGTTATAATGAAACTGTTGAAACTGCAGCTGGTCTTATAGATTGATGTTGTAGGGGGTTGATGATCGTAACTATAATAGAAGGATAAATTCGAACGAAGACTCGTTTGAAACAGAATTTTAACTCGGTCAGTGGAGTGATCGAGGATATGGAAACGCGCAATATTTTCTAGGACACCCTATCGAAATCGCGCGTGGTCGTCCAGAGACGAGGGAGGCCAGGATCGCGCGTAGACCGTATTCGGGGCATTTGAGAGTTTCTCGAGCCGGTGAAACCGCGGACCATTTCGAAAAGGATACGCGTCCCGTTTACGAATCGCCTGCTCGTCGTGCACGGCGGCGAGCGTCGGCGAAATCCGGTTCTCGGCGAAGAATCGAGTAACGCTTCGCAGTCGGGTTCGTAGGATGTATAGCCGTCGAAAAGAGAAAGGGATTATCGCCGTCGAGAGAGGCGCGATCCGGGGAACTTACATTTTGTAGTGATGCTGCATGTGATGGGTCAGATGGAGATCGGCGGGGTGTTGCTGTAGCTGCTGCTGCTGTTGCTGAAGCTGCTGCATCGCCTGGTGATGGTGTGTCTGCGGGGGGTCCAGGCTAGAGGCGCCCAGCAGGGTGGCGGTCTCCCTAAACAGCGTTGCCACCTGCATCCTCGACGATTATTATATTCCTGGTTGGTTAGGAGAGACGATTACGCTGCCCGTCGGGGACGCGCGACGCCGTCCGTCGGCCGATCCGCGAATATGCCTTCTCTCGGTTGCCCCGATAATTGGATGGCCGCGAATGGCAGCTCTCTCTCTTTCCCCGTCGGTCGTCGGACCGTTTCCCGTCGAGCCGCTCCAAGTCCTTGGAAACGCGATAAAATCCAACCGGGTCGCGGGAAGGTCAGAGGCCAGAGACTCGGAGGAGGTCCTGGAAAGAAGGAGACCCGAGACACGAGGCTCACCCCGACGGCCCCTCCGAGGGAACGCGAGCCGTCGGTAGGCTACGCGCGATCTCGAGGACGTGTAACCCTCGCGCACCAACTGCACTCACTTGTGGCACACTGTCACCCAAACGACGACCGTCGCGACGACGGGACCGAGCCGGTCGGTCCCCGGCGACGGCTTCTAAGGCGGCTGCTTAAAACCACGAAACTGTAACCGCAGACGGTGTTTAATCGAGTCCTCTCGAGCTGGTCGTCCTCCAATTACCCCTCGCGATCCTCGTTACCATCGTCATCGTCCTCCAGGATACCCTTCAGTCACCAACTACCACCCCACTCCGTATCCTCCTCCTCCTCCGACGCGTTTCTCCAAATGCGGTTCACCCTCTCGGCCGAGTTCGAGGCTGCTCGCGACGCTACTTTCGGGACGGTACCCGCGAAAGTCTCCTTTTCGAGAGTCCGCGCTCTCTCACGGTTTTCACCGGCGCGGGCAGCACACGTGACCACCGCCCGGAGATCACTGCCCCGGACCGAATATCCACGGGTAACTTTCTTTTTTCCAAGTTTCTCCGGTTTCGTCGTCGGCGGGCTCCTCTCCGGCCGTCTGCCACCGGGTATACGCTCCACGAAGGGCGACTACACGCTGGCTCGCGACGGAACGGTTCCGCCGTTGGTCATCTCCACCTCGGTCCGTGCGACTCCTTTTTTTCACTCCGACGAGACCGCCGTTGCCGGACGTGTGCACCACGGCGTTTCAACGAGCACCCACGCCCCCCGAAGATGAAGACGGCGCGATGTTTTCTCTCCGTCTGGCACTCAAAGGCGGTGCGATCGTCGTTGTTGGCCGCTTCGGAGCGTTGCTCCGATAACGCGACAGCAGCGTGCCGCTCCTAAAATTTCACGCGGCTCACCGATAAAACTCGCGACCGTGAGCGTGCTTCCTCCCCCGTCTCTCTTTCCTTTGTTCGTCCCTCGTGTTGGGCCCCGGGTGTCTGGGCTCTCTCTCTCTCTGTTTCCACACTGATCTCTCGCTCTCTTTCTCTCTGTCTCTCTGTACTCTTCGATCCTCTCTCTCTCTCCTGCGATCTCTCGGTGAACTCTCTCCCGTCGCGTAAACACGCGTCCACGCACACCACGGGAAATCTGAAACCGCGGCAGCAAGAGTCGGCACCGCACTGCTTGGCCGTGTCGCTGGTTAGGTCGCTCGAGCCGCGAGGTTCGTGCGTTTCCGACCTCGCTCGACTGCGCTCGGCCCCGCTCGGTTTCGGAGCCTCCTGCCGGCCGCCAGCGGCGGCGGCGGCGGCGGCGGCGGCGGCGGTGGTGGAGGTGCCACCGACGACGACGACGACGACGATGGCTGCGACTGCCTTGCTGTCTTCCCGTCCCTCCCTTCTCTTCTTTCCTCGTTCAAATTTATCCTTCTATTATTGCTACTATCATCAACCCCCCATGGGACGAATTTTTGCCACTACCATAACAAAATTCACGTAACGTTGAAATCAATATCTATCTATGAAACCAACTACGAACTCAACAGTTTCAACAATTTTATCACGATTTCTAAACAACAGAGATTTGCACCTGTCTGTATACAAATTCTAACCCTTATGAGGGTCCTCTACTGTAAACCGCGAAAAAATTCGATCTTTACTTTACCGAGTTAAAATTCAATTTCAAACGTGGCTCCAATCCTTAGAGGGGTCCTCTTTCTACCATTGTTACTATCATCAACCCCCCTCCCCCCCATGGGCTGAATTTTTGCCACTAACCATAACAAAATTCACGTAACGTTGAAATCAATATCAATCTATGAAACCAACTACGAACTCAACAGTTTCAACAATTTTACCATAATTTCTAATTATCAAACAACAGATTGATTGCCCCCTGTTTAACCCTTATGGGGGTCTACTGTAAACCGCGAAAAAATTCGATCTTTACTTTACCGAGTTAAAATTCAATTTCAAACGTGGCACCAATCTTTAAGGGGGTCCTCTTTCAAATTTATCCTTCTATCATTACTATCATCAACCCCCCTCCCTCCATGCACGACCATAACAAACACCAATAAAGGAACAAATAATTGCACAATATCTACAGCCTCGCATTTACTTTGATATTTCAGATTAGATGCGATAACTGTTACCAAGACCGTAACTGAGAAGACATTATGTAACGAGGCGTATGCATCGCATGTATTTGTTTCCCTTTTAATTTAAGCACCCCGTATATTTTGTGGAGAGCTAGAATTTGTTTGGAAGACTTCCTTGTGTACGCAATAGTTTTAAAGGCAGCAAAAGTTAAAACTTGAGAGTTTCGCCCCTCAAACTCCCCGGGTTATCACAGTTAAAAAAAATGTGCATCCCTTATTTTTCCCCCCTCCACGAGCCAGCAAAGTTTCATCAATATCGGCAGGCTTCGCTAATGTTCCTCGTCGGCTAAGTTCTTCCACACATTTAACTACCTTGGAATTAAACTTTTTCTCTGACCCGGACCACCTACACGATTTTTCTGAACTTCGAGGATTTTCGACGAAAATATTTTTAACTCACGGCAAATATCACTTTCTATGAATCGCTGCTTGTCTTGTTCTGTTGTTACTCCCACGCACTTCTGCTTTGATGCTATTATTAGGCGTGAACGTACATATTATCACTTTCGTGCTAACTGATGACGATCAGAATTAGTTCTCATGGTTATGGACGAACGTTCCGACTCTTTTCGTTCCGTCATCGAAAGTCGAACGTGCAAAGCTGTTAAAGATTACTTGGTCATTGTGATCGCGAAACGAGAGAAAGTAATATAAGGTTTAAGTTCGAGACACAGAAAGAAACGTAGTTACAAGTTGCGATCTGATTAAAGTAACCTGTTTTAGCGGCCATAATTAATAAATCATCTTTTATACGGAGTTCCAAACACGGAACGAATTACGTAATTTGTTTGAAACACGATTATACTTTCATGGTAGGTCGGAAAGTAAAAATGCTTCGGACGTAATTTCGTCGTCCTTGACTCTCGTCTTATTCCGAGTCGCGGAATCATCCCATAAAATATTTACACGACAGATAACCCTCTTTATATATAAGGAAATTATTAACATTAATGTAAACAGCTATAATTAAGCGAGCACTTCGTTAACGCGATGTTTAAAACAAACTCGTAGCACGCGAGGAAAGGTCCACGTTCCGGGCAGAGCTATTTGCTAGATTACAGATTCTGTTAACGGGGTCACTATGATTCTCCGTACCTTATTGGTCGAAATAAAAGTGCCAGAACCCGTACTGATCTTGTGTGTGCAGTCTCAGGAATTCGCGCGAGCGGCTTGATACAAATGATCGTACCATTTAGGATTTTAAATAGAAAGATTAGGTCTGAGGCTGTTGCGCCACGATTGGCCCATAGATTTCCTCATTAGTAACGCATGGGTTCGCTAATCCTAAACGCCTCGTATCGTAAAAATCAATTTTGCACCGATTCCATCAAATCAGATTGATATCTGCAAATTATAGACGCAATAATAGTAATTGATAAGCAAAACACGGAACGGGAGGAGAAATATATCACGAGCTTTGTTTGAAAACAATCTGATAAAATGAGTCATAGCTTCTCAATAATTTAGTCAAATAGCTCTTTAGTTAATTCTCGTCTTCGAAACAATCAATCCAGTGAGATATTAAAATAAATTTTTGAAGACGGTCCATACGTAAAAAGCTTTTATTTACTTAGTACCTATCCATCTGCTATTATCCTTGTTTGTTTATCGCCGATTAATCTCAATGACGACTACTCGATTAACGATTATGGTCATCCCGATTACTCCGCGCAATCAATTACAAGAATAATCAATTATCACCGCCCATGGTACCTACGCCATATCCGACACGCCGACTTTTTTTGCCTGCACCAGGGAAATTAACTCAGCCGGGGGGACCATGCTGCATATTTTCTCTCATACTGCTTAATCGTGAACGTTGGTATGCAATGGATCTATTGCTGTAGAAAATTTCTTCCTGTTTTCCCCCCCAGTAAACAGCAAAGACCCTTTGGTGTATATATATATCAGTACTCTTCGACCCTTTCGCACGCACTCGAGAAAAAAAAATACAAAATTAGAATTCGTTCGAACATCGAAGAAGTGCGAGAAAGGTGCGTCGAATTCGTTTCGCGTGAAACAATTTTCGAAAATCGACGAACCCTCGTACGAAATATTTTTTCATCGCGTTATCGGATAATTCGAAATCGAAAAGATTTTCGGGGAACCGGTTCCGCGTCTCGCGGAGAATTCGAAATTCGCCGTGGCAATTTTTCAAGCAAAGTTCGCTGATAATGGAACGTAATGGCACCGTCGACGGTAAGATATTTTTGTCTCGTCGTTCCCTGCGTACCTTTCTTCCTCTTCCTGTCCTTGTTCCTCTTCCGTCCGCTCGACCACGAACGTTTCCCTATCCCGTGCCAGGTGTGTGGCGTACCCGTCCAAGTTTACCGGGACTAATCGATAGCGGGGCACGATCGATGATAAATCGAGGCACGCGACCGCGCCGATCGATCGGGACGAATCGATTTCGTACGTCGGATGGTACGCGCCGCGGACCCAGCTCCTTGACCGGACGTCGGAATCGTTCGCGATTTCGCCGTGCGTGCCGCGTCGAATTTACGAGGAGGAGATACGCCGTTCGTCGTTTCCACGTACGTACTTATGCAAATTGCACGACGAGATCGTGTTCGCGAGTGTGTCGCAACCCGGCATTCTTCCCACCGCCGCGAGAAACCTACCGTATTAATATTTACTCCCGACGATCACCCGAAACGTTTTCTCCGACGAGATGGACGCGACGTCGGATAAACGTCCCGGAGGTTGAACGATTAAGGAAAAGATGTCCATTATTAAAACTTTGGACTCTTATCAACCTCCGGACCCGTGCAAAATACGATGTCGAGACACTGGCATACCTTCAGCCATGGTCCTGGGTTTTTTAAAAAGTTACTTCTCTGCAAAAAATTAGAATGGAACATCTTCTGAAAAATGGTTCCTCGGATCCGTGTTTCAAAAGACGTTCTATTCTAATTTTTTCCAGAGAAATAACTTCTCAAAAAAGCCAGCCCCAAGGTGGTCAGGAAAAACGTTCGTACGATCCTAAACTTGATTCGCGACTATTGACCATCATTTTTTTCAAATCATTCAAGTATCTTTCGAATCGAGAGAATCGAGAATAGTTGGATCCAAGAAGCGATCAGTACAACGCGTAATAAATGAAACGGGGTCCTTCGAAACGCCATCGTGGAAAACGCCGTTCGCGGGACGAAACGAAGAATTTCTTCCGGCGAGTATCACTCGAGGGCATTCTTTATAACTCCTCGCAGTAAAACGCGGATCTCCACGGACGGGAATCGTCCAAGTTCGCGCGCGTAACAGCGAACAACCGGTTTTAATTGAATCTATGTTACCGCGACACGCTCCGAAATGTAGCCGAAGCGATAGATCGATCGATTTATTGGCCTGGAACGATATCCCATCAGGACCAAACACGATCTCGATTTTAAGAAAGACAGTGACACCGTTAATAAATTAACCTCGTTTGGAGTATCTGTTATTCGGTCCTCCACCTTTTGCGAATATATCGACGGGTACCACTGTCACACTCGGATTTATTAAATATAAATTGCACGTGGGTCGTGTGCTCGTTGTAAATGCTCACGAATATCGAGAACCTTTGCTTGAACCGATCTTGGACGAGATAAGTGGCATTAAATGGAATAAAATACAATTTAAAAACGACCATAAATCTTTTCCTCGTCAGAAAAGCTACCGTGTCTTATTTTGCTACAATCGCCGCATTGGGCAACGATATCTCGAATAAAACAAAATACGCTTAGAAAAAAATTAAACGTGTGATGCAACTTGATGGGTCGTAGCTTCGTTAAGTATTATAAGATGTTTTACGAGTATGAGGTATTATCGTAACTTGTAAGCGTACACGAGATCGGTGCTCTCAGATAAAGTTTGTTGCTCGACTGTAATAATGGAAATTTTTGCATTTTTTGCGGATACCGTCCATTATTATGCGTTGTCGAGTACTGGCGTAATTACCTTAGCCGCTGTATCTTTGGACAGTGATTGAAACGAGTTTCATATTTTCGATCGGGCGCTAGCCGTCTACTTAGTTACAAATTATAACTTTGAAACGTGTGCGATCGTTCGTTGCTTGACGCGAATAAAAAAGAATAATAAAAAAAATAAAAGCATACATATTTATGCTAGCAGATACAATCGTTGGAAGGAACTTGTGTTATTTTTATTATTCGTTCGCGCTTCG